GTATTTATTTCAGCTAGCTGCTAAGGAAACAGTTATCGTTTTCATTTTAAGTTGATGTACTAAAACAACTAAAATTTAAATGCAAACAGAAAATATAATAAGTCATAAAATAAATGAAAAATAATAATAACTAATTAAAACTAAACACTAAAGCATATACTGCTTAGCTACTTGAATATATATATATTACAAACTAAATGTATTTATTTCAGCTAGCTGCTAAGGAAACAGTTATCGTTTTCATTTTAAGTTGATGTACTAAAACAACTAAAATTTAAATGCAAACAGAAAATATCATAAGTCATAAAATAAATGAAAAATAATAATAACTAATTAAAACTAAACACTAAAGCATATACTGCTTAGCTACTTGAAAGGATGCTGTAACAGTATCATTATTATGCTGATGCCCCAAACCACTGATCTATATTATAATGTCTCTATTATAGATCAGAATGTGTATAATGCTACCGACGCTACACTTTTTCACACCTAATGCAGATTCAATGTAAAATAGAGCATTATTATAAGCTAAATATGTCATTCCTGTAAGTCAGCAGTGCATTAGCAGCATCTGAGCTCCATCAGTCAATCTAGCATCTTTCCCAGCATCTGCTCACCTTTTTGTCCCAGATCTGCAGGGGTTTGCTGCCGATGCTGTAGAGGATGGACAGAAAGCCGCTCTGAAATGTGTTTTTGAACATAATTCTAATGACTACACACTGTTTACAGTTGATTCTGCTCTGAACGCGTCCGGCTGGATCTCCGGACTCCAGATCTCGGGTTCCGCTTCACAAACAACAAACAAGCGTATGCATCAAATAATCGTCGTATATCAAACTAAAGCGCTTAAAACGCGTTAAATGTCGCGTCTGGTCTGATTAATCCTCAACAGCGACACCGACGAGCTTTCCCCGAGTTTATTTGGGAGTTGCTAGGAGACGTGGTTGTCAAGTCGGACCCTTTAGTGTTGACACGGCGGTTGCTATAATAAGGTAGATCTATATCTATGATCCCGGTGAGCTTATGCAGTCAATACGACATCTGTTCTTTATTCTCGTGCGTACATTTTTAGGACACATTTACAAATAAGTCATAGAAATGTATAGAAAATATTGGTGCACTTGATGCACCGTGACAACTAGTTCAACCATTTTGCATTAAATTCCATTGCATTGCTTTATGAACTAATTCCTAGATTAAACAGAGAACCATTTTGAGCGACATGACACTAGCAATTGATAACAGCAGACAATTGTACATAATCAATTGCATTAAAGAAAGAAAAAAATGCTTTCATGATGTGCACGGTAAACAAGTAACGCGAGTTACGTAATCAGATTACTTTTTTCAAGTAACTAGTAAAGTAACGCATTACTTTTTAATTTACAAGAGAATATCTGAGTTACTTTTTCAAATAAGTAACGCAAGTTACTTTTTTTCTCCAGTTTATTGCTTGGAATAATCAATAAATTGTTGAGAGAGATCAGAAGATGTTACTGTAGTTCTAAAATAAATATGAATATGCATTAATTCATCTCACTCACACACACACAAAAAAAAAACACAGATTCAGTATTCCTCAAAATGAATAAAAATAAGGCAACACAGAATATGACGCAAACCTGCAATAACTAAATGTTAAACAACACAAATATGCTTTATGTATTTAATCCCATTCTATTAACCAATGTCTTTGCTTCTGAGCTTCGATGATCCAAGCACACTAATAAGCAGAAATTACTCTAGACAAACATTTGTGTCTTTGTTTATTGCTGAAGTGTGTTGAAATTTATTCTTCTGCATTCTACTGTACGGACTTAAATTTACTTTCCCTTCAGCCTGAGGCTTATTCATTTCACTTTTGGTGTGAAAAGGCTTTTATATTTGCCAAAAATAGAACTTTTTTATTTTAAAAACAAACAAGCAAGCCCTGTCCAGATTTAAAAAGTAACGCAAAAGTAACGTAACGCATTACTTTCCATAAAAAGTAACTAAGTAACCTAATTAGTTACTTTTTTATGGAGCAACGCAATATTGTAATGCATTACTTTTAAAAGTAACTTTCCCCAACACTGCAGGTGACTAGATGATGTGGAAGTTGAACAAGCAGTTTTGAGTTGATAAACAGCTTTGTAAGTCTGCTTATATCTGTTCTTCATGACCTAGAAACATCAGTCCCAGACCAGACACACATGAACACAACTCACCAAATACAGGAGGAGCTCTGACATCACTGTAGCTCAGTGAGAGACTCAGAGAAAACGAAACTAACAACAATATGGATGCCTGAAAGTTAAACGAAATCTTTTTTGAGCCATTCAAACTCTTGTGGACACATCTGAAACTCACAGGTAGGCTAAGGGATAGAAATATAAGAGAGATTGTCTCGAACATGTTTCTAATGGAAGTGGTCTGGTGTTTATGTCAGACTGGAACAATCTGAACAGAACCCAGTTTCAGCATATCAAATACTCACCTTCTTTAGTTTACTGCACTGAAATAGTAACAGATTTGTATTTAAAGCATGCCATTTGATTGGTTGTATAGTTTGGTGTTTCTGGCATTTTGTCACACGACATAAAGTCTAAAGAAGTCCTGCAGACAGACAGAACACAAACCTGCTACACTGTAGCTGAAAATCACATTTACATAAAATAAGATGAAATTACACTTGACTTGACTTTTTTTATTTTGGGAAAAATGGCATTTTTGTGTGAGATTTAAAAAAAATAAATAGACGTAGTTTTTTGTCCATATCAGTGTGTACAT